AGGCGCTTGTAACTTGGGATAAATATATAGGTCACATGCAACAATTGTTTTTTCCTTTGAAAACCAGGATATATTTTGATTTGATCAAAAGAAAGCCCACTGTATACTCAAACATGTCTTTATGTTTGGATGACAAACAAGCTCCACATCATTGTTTTGACCATTTGACAAATAGGAAGTTTGCAAAAATGAACATCTGTCAGATTTTAGTATGTGGTGAACCTAGATGCAGATGAGGCAGAAAGAATAACAGTGTATTTTATGTTTAACAGTATAAAGTAAGTTTGCGGGAGAGTCGAACAGGACAGTGCAAGAGAACCAAAATAAAAGTCTGTGACAGAAAGTTGACAGGAATCCTGACACTCATCCTATGTCATAAAAAGACTTATTTGTCATTTTTATCAGCAGAACATGCAGACAAGATGGATTACAGTATGAATTTCCTGTTTTTAAAAACATTAATGTATCTAAGTGACTGATTGCTTGATTGATCACTCCACTGGATTGCAAGTGCAATGTTATCATGCCATTTAATCGCTATTATCAGATGTTAATTGGACCATAGATACATGTAGAGGTTACTCAGGCCCTATGCACCTTGTAGTATGCTCAGAGGTTACTAAGGCCCTATGCACCTTGTAGTATGCTCAGTAGGTCATTATCTTGTGCCAGGCCTTTGTCCTCACACTGTAATTACAAGAAAAAATGCAGAGAGTAGTAGATTTAGGCACAAAAACTTCTTCATAAGCTTTAGGGAACTTCAGAATTGGACCAAGTTTCTGACATGCCAGGAATCCACACGATTGTTCATGAGCTAGAGTGCTGGTCGTTGGGGTGATTAATCCTGAGTTTACAGAACAGAGAAACATCCAACCAGCTATCTGATTAGCTCAGCGATGCTGTCACACACCAATCACACACATATTTGTTTAGACACTGATTGTTGACAGGTCATTCCTGTTGCCAGTTTATGTTTCATTTTGAGATCAGGTCACCTCTCTGTTATTTTTCTGTGCATATAACTCACCATGATTTTTACATTCATTATGATATGTTGCCTTTTTATATTCAGTCAGCTTAGGTGATCTGCAGAAACTCTTAGGCACTGCGCCTAAACCTTTTATGGTAAGGAAAACCCTGTTGATGATATTTACCTTCTGATCTGTTGGTAGGTGCAGTTTGCCTCTTCTGAAGTATAATTACAGTATGGGTGTAATAATAAACTCTGCTCCTTTTTGTCATCCATCACTTACACTGGAATAAAACTGATGAGGTATCACATCAAATAATGTGCAGCTGTATTGTTTTCAGTGTAATACAGGACACAGATGATTTACACTATGTTCGCATTGAATTTTGATTTTATATACGGTCCCAATTTTTTCTGATGGGGTTGTGTGACTATGTCTGTAATGCTGGTAATTGTATCTCTCAATGCTTGCATGAATGCACACACACACACACACACACACACACACATGCATGCAAATGTAAAAGATTACATTCAAAGTCAGTCGCCCTGTGTAGGAAGACAGCTGTGTACTGGACAATCTGCCAAAAGAAAATCCCTGCTGAGAAGTTAGAAAGGAAGGTAATATATTTCAAACATTTTCACTGAAGCTGTTTTGCTTATTCTGAGTCACCGATTACATAAATGGCTTTAGTCACAGACAGTCAGACTTGGAACTCCCACACCTGAAATTAAACAGATCTGGTGTATGCAAAGGAAAATCTTCCATGAATAAGGGAAATGTTTAGGTTTAAAACAAGCCAAATAGACCATCTTTTTCTTTTCTTTTTTTTAATCACTAATGCACACAACACACCTACAGTATATTGTTGTGTGCCATAGCACTAAGACCGGATTAAACAGTTTGGGGTCTTACCATTTAGATTTCTATAAACTGCATAAAATAAATTATACAGTGGGTACGGAAAGTATTCAGACCCCCTTAAATTTTTCACTCTTTGTTATATT